TATTCTATTCTATTCTATTCTATTCTATTCTATTCTATTCTATTCTATTCTATTCCATTCCATTCCATTCCATTCCATTCCATTCCATTCCATTCCATTCTATTCTATTCTATTCTATTCTATTCTATTGATAACTTCCCCACTTCCACCCATTTTTTCATATCACCATCTTTCTGTTTAAAGTTGGTTTTCCCATAAAATAAATTTGGCATGAGGATCCCCAGAAAATAGCACTCTGAGCAGTGAGGCATGTTTTTCTCCTTGCCAGTGAACAACTGACTTTGTTAGCAAAGCTGGTCCTTTGACAGCATACTCCCCAGATCTGAATGGGAGTATCTAGGAACGTCCCTTGGATGACCATGGACAGAAAATATAGAGGATTACAATGGCTGGAGTGGTTGCGTCTCCATCTTTTCCAGTCACTGTTTGTATTTTTAGGTGTGGTTCTGTTTTTAACTTCACTTTTTGATGTTTGATTGTTAATAGTCTGGCTGAATGCCGATTTACTTTATACTCTTTTGCTTGATTACAAATGTAAACTTTCATCAATTTAATCCAGAGTTTTAAAATACTTTTTCTTTTGGTGCACAGAAGTTAGTGGCATGACAGTTTTTTTCCTTTGCAGTGAAAGTGACTTGATCTGATTTAAATGGGATTTTAACTCCAGCAATTTTGTATTTTACCAGTTTTTCTAAAAATACTCCATTGCTTCATTTTATTTTTGTATGCAGTATTTTGCAAAATGCTGGTTGTACAGAAAATCCTGTAAATTAATGATGTTTTCAGAAATAAAATGTTAATAGTCCATTTTTATCAGTTATAACAAAATAGAAATGAACAGAAGAGAAATCCAAATCCAATCAATATTTGGTATGATGACCCTTTGCCTTCAAAACAGCATTAATTCTTAAGCTTGCACAAAGTCAGGGATTTTATAGGATTAGAGTCAGATGTATGATTAACCAATTATATCAAGCAGGTGCCAATGATCACCAATTTCAAATATAAACTGTAACACAGTCATTGACTGAAACAGAAGCAGTTGTATATGAGGCTTAAAACTGGGTGGAAATGGATAAACTTGGGTGAGATTCTACCAGTTTGGACTGGTTTGGGTGAAATAGATGTTAAACTTACATCTGGTTTGCCAAACTGGTACTTGAACCGACTGGCTGTCCCTGCCCACCCTGCCCCTCTTCTCCCAGGAGTCTCCATGTGGCCCGTTTGGGATGCAGGTAAGTGCAGGGTCTGGGCAGAGGTTCTGGGAGGGCGAAAAATGGCCCTCCTGGAACTTCTTCCTTTTAGAGACTGAGTCTCACCAAGCCACGCCCACCAAGCCACGCCCACAGAGCTGATAGGAAAAACTTCTGAATTTCACCCCTGATCTCAACCATACTCTTAAAGCACAAGTTGTGAAGCCAGACCAACAATGGCAAAGTAGTGAAGATACCTATTTTAAATCTGGCAAAATGGACAGTGCAATTTTGCATGTTAGAC